AAAATGACCATTTTGCCCCTTTGAATCAATTGATCCACTTCCCTTCAAAATTAATGATCAAGACTTCAAACATATGATCTTCCAAATATATAGAGGCCATGTACAAAGTTTCACTTCAAAATTCTCAAGAAATCTTGATAAAATCCCAAACCCTAGTTTTGGTTAACACCTTAGGAGATTGAGGAATCATCTCCAAAATTTCAAATCCTCTGGGCATTTTGACCAATTTTCTTGTACAAAGACTTTTCAAATACCAATGAAATGTTGTAGCTTCCACATCAAGATCTGTACATTGATCAATAGCCTTGATCAAGCAAAACCCTAATTTTGACTGGTGAATCAAAAGAGTGATTCCTCTTATAATCAATCACAAACTTCAATCCTCTGATGATCCAAAGAGGTGGATGAAATATCTTGAGATATGAAAAAACTTTTGAGCTTGAAAGATCCAGAGGTTTAGATGATAAGATTCTACAAGAGCAACTTGTCAATGCATTCAACCTTCAAAGCTTGAGGAAGACTTGATAACCAAAGTATTTTGATCCTATCACAATGTACGAATGCAATGCAATATGATATTCATGATGAAACATAAGCCTAAATCAAGAGGGTAAATTTTGGGGTGCAACAACACATATGTTAGATGGGCGTGAAGTGTGAATTCCTAAATGGACCCTTAGAAGAAGAAGTCTATGTTAAACAACCAGTTGAGTTTGTGAAACATGAAGAAGAAAGAAAGGTGTACAGGCTGCATAAAACCCTATATGGATTGAAACAAACTCCAAGGGCTTGGAATAAGAAAATTGATAGTTTCCTAAGGGAGAAGGAATTTGTAAAGTGCACAACTGAACATGGAGTATATGTAAGAAGAATCAAGATTGAATTGCTTATACTATATCTCTATGTAGATGATTTGTTGATAACAGGTAGCTATAAAAGTGAGATCGAAGACTTCAAAGGTGATCTCAACAAGGAATTCGAAATGTCTAATTTGGATGAGATTTCATATTTCCCTGGAATCGAAGTCTACAAGAGCAGTAGAGGTTTGATGATGCATCAAAGAAAATATACAGGAGAAATTCTCAAGAGATTTGAGATGGAAGAATGCAACTCAACTTCGACACCTGCAGAACCAAGACCGCAACTGTCGAAAGATGCATATGAAGATGATGTTAATCCAACCCAATACAGAAGAATTATTGGATCATTAAGATACCTTTATCATACAAGGTCTGACTTAGCATATAATGTAGGTATGGTAAGTAGATTCATGCAAAAGCCAAATGTATCACATCTAGCAGCAGTGAAGAGGATACTAAGGTATCTCAAAGGAACTTTTGATTATGGCATTTTGTTTCATGCAACTGATAAAGGAAAAGAATGCAAGTTAGTGGGATACACTGATTCGAGTTGGTGTAGTGTTGCTGAAGATAGAAAGTCAACAGTAGGATATGTGTTTATGCCAGGTGGTGCACCAGTTGCTTGGAATTCAAGAAAGGAACCAGTAGTGACATTATCATCATACGAAGCAGAATACATAGTTGCTTCTCTTTGTGCATGTCAAGCAACTTGGATGGTGAACTTGGTCGAAGAGATGACAAGGAAAGATCATGGAGCAATTACCATGAAAATCGACAACATGTCAGCTATCAATCTGGAAAAGAACCCAATAGCACATGGTCGAAACAAGCACATTGAAATGAGGTTCCATTATCTTCGAAAGCAGGTAGCAGATGGGAAGATGAATTTGGAACACTGCAGAACTGAGAATCAGATTGCAGATATCATGACGAAGGGAGTGCAAGTCGAAGTATTCAAAAGACTAAGAGTCGTGATGAACATAGATAGTTTAGACACAATGAATTAGGTGGTGTGTTAAATTGTAATTCATAGTGTCGAAAAGATTAGATTTGTTTAGATTTAAATAGATTTGATTTAAGTCTAGAATAGATTAGATTTGATTTAGTAACAAAATAGATATTTTGGGCTTTGGACTTAGGGTGTAAGCTCAGTTATAAATAAAGGGAGTAACTCCTATTTTTTGTAAGCAAGTCAAGCAAGTCATTCACGGTATTTTGCAGTTGCAAAGTGAATAAGAAAGTTTTCACAGTTTGTGAGCAGAGAGAAACTATGCAGAAATTATTTGTCTTGTCTTCTTTTCTTTGTTTTTCTCATAACTAATCGTCATTGTGATAAAAATTCATCATAGACTTTGGTGAATTTCCAACAAATCTTTGTTGTAGGTTATTGAGTTTTTTCCATGCTAAAAGCCATGTTTGAATTTTGAACTTGTCTTTTGTTAAAGGCTACGTTTGATTATTGAGTTTGTCTTGTATTAAAAGCTCTGTTGGCCTCTTGAGCTTGTTTATGTGTTAAAATTAGTTCGATTTAGTTCTTGAATTTAGCCTACTAAAAACTCTGTCTAATTTGAAAATCGTTTATATAAAATATATTATTTAATTATAAGAAGGTTTGTGAATATAACTTAAGAAAACTCTTAAATCTTTATTTAGCGGAGACTCTAAAAAACAAACTAATGAAAATAAAAATAGGTCAAATTATTAGGCCAAACATATATGGTACATATTCTCTATCCCCCTTATATCTTTATTTTACATAACTTTACTTGTTTTGAATTGTATTTCTTTCTTTCCATCACTCCGATTTTCTTTCTTTTACTTATTTCACTGCTATATTTTTGTTTAATTAATAAAATTTACTTAAATCAATTTTTTTATAAATTGAATTCAATTTTTAATCAATAAAATCCAAGCTCTTTCTGTGTTTGAAATCTGACTAATACTAACTTTATAAGTATATCCTTCTCTACCTACTCTCTCCGCCGTATTAAAAAACTACACGACGAACATTCTGAACACACCGCTGATTTTCTGTTTCACATCGGAATAAATATTAATTAGATAATATGATTAAATAATAAAAAAGTTGTATTAAACGTATAAAATTTTCATTTATTTTAAAACAACTTTTTTTATAATAATAAATTAATTTTGGAAAATAGGGAGTGTGTTTTATGACTGCTAACGATAAGTTCTTTGTATTTGTTTTTTAATATAAAACTCTAAGAGGACACGTACTTGCTATGATGACAACATTTTCCGCACACTGTTTCCGTGAAGCCAGTACGAATAGTTTTGATTTCAGATCCATGAACAATTCTTTCATTACAATGTCGCCATAATGTGCTCATTTTAAATTTCTGATCCATTCAATATTTAATTCCTCCTTTAAGTCAGACTAAGTAGAGTTACTATTTTGCCCTGGTTTTCATTTTATAATAATAATAATAATAATAATAATAATAATAATAATAATAATAATAATAATAATAATAATAATAATAATAATAATAATAAAAATAATAATAATAATGTCCTATTTTACTAATATTCAGTCGTATTAATTTGATTTTCAGACAAAATATTATAAAAAATATATTTCTCTTCAAGAAATTATTACTTGTACATCATCATACTTGACAAATATATTATAAAGTTAAAAATAAAATTATATTCTATCTTCTCAAAATATAACTTTTTTATAAATCATTTTATAAGAAAATTCACTATAAATTATAAATTACTTTACAATTTCAATATAAATAATTTTTTTATATATATTTTACTATTTATTTCTCTTCTTTTTTCTTATTTTGTTGAACTTTTGTTTTTTTTATAATTATTGAAGTAAAATAGCATAAATTTTTTATATATAGATTATCTTTTTCAAAAAAAATTAATTGTATTTTTTAATTTAGGATCGATGGAGTAATATTTTTTATTAAACTTAATTACAATCGCAATTTTTTTATTATATGTTACTTTTAAAATAGAAATGCTAAAACATTAAATATTTGAAAAGATAATTTATAAGTTTCTTTGTAAATTCATATTTTAATATAATCATTATTATAATTTTGTGAAAATCTTAAAACCGAGTGATATACTATTATAATTAATATGAAAATAGATTTTGTTGAATTAGAGTAAATCTGGTCTATCAAAAAACCGAAGTTTAATGTAATCAATCATTATTTTATTTTTAAATCTGTATTTGTTTTTTTTAAAAGTCTAATTAATCTATTAGTCTATATAAAAATTTATTTATTTTAAAGATATGTAAATAAAAAATTTAAATAAATTAATAAATTAAAAGATTAATAGAATTAAAAATTTATTTGCATTATATATTAATTTATCTATTAACATAAATTTTTTGAGATTATCTGTTTAAAAAAGTTTATAAAAACAACTTATGACATTATTCATAGACATTTACATCTTATTTTAATTTTTCAAAATAACCAATTTATATATATATATATATATATATATATATATATATATATATATATATATATATATATATATATATATATATATATATATATATATATAATATATATATATATATATATATATATATATATATATATATATATATATATATATATATATATATATATATATATAAATTTAAAATACAAATCATAATATAATAATAATAATAATAATAAATTATTCATATTTATTTAAATATATTGATTTAATTAAATTAAAAAGTGTTTTTTTATGTTTGAGATCTAATCTTTTTTTAACTACATAGATTTATGAAAAAACTTAAGTTTTCTCTATTTAAAAAAAATCTAACCTAAGATATATAGGATAGACCATAAACCTAGTTGGGTCTCTCCTATTTGCACTCCAACTGCAATGAAATGAAAGTAATTATAGTAAAAATAAACTATAGCCAACTACAATGAAATGAAAGTAATAATAGTAAAATAAACTATAGATGAAAAAACACCCCATTTAATTGACTTAATTAAAAAAAAAAAAGTATATGGCATGCACCGTGCCGGTCTATATCAGCATATTTATTGCGAACTAAAATCCACAAATAAATTAATCAGATTTTGACATAGTGAGAGAGCACACATAAAAAAAAAGAAGAAAAAGTGCGAACCACTAGATTCATTCATGGCATCATTCATATCTATGTTGGGCACTGTGATTTTGAGGAAGTATATATACATATATCATCAGTATGGATACATGTTAGCAACCATGCTTTTCCTTCTAGCCTCCGCCTGGCAATTTTCCACCGTTATTTTCCCGCAAACTACGGCGGTTTCCGGTAGGTTTTCACCAATAACTTCAATGATATCCATGGGGAGACCAGATCGCTAGCTAGCTAGCAAGACTGTAACATGTAATCCTACTCTTTTATCCTATTGTTTTTCAATAAAAGAATCTAATTTTTTTTCCTTGTTATCTTGATTCTTGATTAGTATGGTTTGTTTTGTACTGTGTATTTCTGATTTATGTGTATGTTGCAATAATATAGTTTTTCATTATTTATTGTTCAAATTTTGGTATTTTTAGTAGTTAGTGTTGATTGTGAACTTAAAATTTTAGTGAAATGTGAGAGACCCAGTTTATTAATATGTAGTTTATTTAGTACAAAAAATTGTAAAGATGTGCAGAAATGAATAAGTAGACAGATGTAGCATTAAATGCAAGTATTTGAAAGAAATGCATAATTTGTAGAATTTTTTTTTTTTATGTATGTATAATGTATGTAGTGTTAGATAACAGTCACTAGTCTAATCTCTGTCATTATAAGCTCTAAGAAACTTCTTACGAGTAACGGTGGACAAATTTGTATTGAAAGTCGAAATCGATTGATCCATTATCTTTTTTATTATTTTTTTTATGTAAATGAATTAGGTTGGATACGGTGTGAGATTGATCCAGTTGCTTAATTTATATTATATAGGATTGATTTGATTGAGTTCGGATGATTATTTTGAATCTGTCGTAAATCGAACTCGACCGAACTTAATTAATATTTATTTTATATATATTTTTATTATTATAGAGTTGAAATATTATAAAAATAGGATTCATAATATTATCAAATTGTTATCTTTTTTATAATTTAACAGTAACATTGTTTACTTACAATAATACAAGACATATGATACAAATCGATTAAACCGAATCCGTCAAAAACCGAAATTTTATCGGTCGAAATTGAACTTTAATAATGAAATTGTGGTTTACATCGAATTTAAATTTTCGATCCGATTTTGATCCCAACCGACTGATTATCCAGCCCTAATTATGAGCATTAAAAGGAAGAAAAGCTTGACCATGGTTGATTGTGTCATTTTGAAAACCTATTTATATAGAACAACTTTCATATGGCGAGATAAAGTGGTGTATGCTTATGGTTTGTTGCTCATTAGAGTATTATACTTTTATTGCATAGCTTGAAACAATTGTGGACTGGACAAAGAATGTTTTACTTATGTAGGCTTAATGTGGCTACATATGCCTTTGGTTAATTCCCTTTGCTCGAGTAAGAAATTGAATGAGCATTGATGCAGGTAATACCATTTGATATGTAAAAACCCCATGATTTGAGAGAGAATGGCTTTGATCAGATAGCTCTAGTAGTATTTCATTGTGTGAAGATAGCTTTAGTAGAACATGCAATGAATTTGGACCATTTCTATGTGTCTTGCACGAAATATGGGTCTCATCAAGTCAAGTCCATATATATTAGTCCATGATTTCTTGTGATTTTATTCAATTTATTTGATTTTAAATTAAATAAAATCAAAATAAATATGAATAAAAATCAAATAAATATATAAGTGAATTTAGAGGTCTTCTAAGATGCTATGGACATGTTTGAAGTCCAAAAAACAGGTTCATTAGTTCAAAATTGCAATTTTGCTCAATTTGTACTTCATGAATTTCTTCAAAATTCTCCAACTTGTGAAACTCATAACTTGTTCAATTTTTATCTTTTGAAGATGATCTTGGAATTTTTGGAAAGCCCAAGATGTCCTATACAATCTCTATGTTGATCATTTTTGCTTTTGAAGACATTATCTTGATGTAAGATGCCTTGACAAAAAAAAGTTATTCGTTGACTTTTGAAAATGACCTATAATGTATGAGCTCATATCTTCCAAATTAGGCATTTTTTGGACTTGAGAATAAATTCAAAGTTATAGAGAATTGAATTTTCTTCAAAATGGGCTTTCTCCCGTTTCCATTATTATATGAGCAATGTTTGATATTTTCTTTATATGGTCGTTCTTATTATCATGTTACTCGATTATTAATGACATTGGTTAAATTATGAAAACCCGGGATGGACAATCATTTCATGCATCATACATATTGTTGTACCTCAAAATTTTCCCTCTCATATTCCTCAAGACATTGCAAGAAAAATCTCCAAATGGCTCAAGATAGCTCAAGAGTTGGTCAGACAAGCTATCTCCTAAGGCAGTCTACCCCAAATTAGGGTTTGGTGTTGCATCAAGATCCTTGAGTACAAATGACCTCAAGTGCTCCCCAATGCCCTAATATGTTCTCAAGATCATCCATGTCAAATTTCAAGCCTTGCAGAGGAAGTTTGCTCAGTCAAATGCCCAAAGGTCCAAAAATCGACTATGCTAGGGCAAAAGTCAACTGTGACCTACAAACAGTCAAATTTCAATATTTTTTGTCAACATTCTAATTTTGAAGGATATTTCATCATTTGATCAAGGATTGATCATGATTCATCAAGGATTGCTCAAAATTCATCAAGACTCAAAAGTTGCTAAATTAGGGTTTTGTAGGAAAAGTCAACTCAAATTTGACCAAGCATAACTTTCTCATACTTTATGATAAATGACCCATCCAAAGCTCATTTTGAATAGGATTCAATTTCCTACAATCCATATTCATACCCCAAGATCAAGAAATTAACTCACAAGAAGTTATGAATTCGAACATTATAGGTCATTTTTTAAAGTCAACAAAAACACCTTTTTTGGCAAAGCTTATAACTTTAGCATGAAACATCAAAATGAGATGAAACCAAAAGGGTTGGTTAGAGGACATCTTAAGCTTTCTAAAAAGTCCAATAACACCTCCAAAAGTTCAAAATTGAAGAAGTTATGCATTGTTGAATTTGGACTTTTTTGCAAAACTGCCAAAAGTCAACCATCCCTAAAACTTCAAATTTTGTCAAATGGGCCCATTCTTTTTCACTTGATTTGAGTTTGCATAGTTTCCCACGTGCCATAGCTTCAGCCATGTGTCCATATCTCATTTTTATTATTTAATTTGATTTTTATTTGAATTTATTCATTTTAAATCAAATAAAATCATATAAAATCAAAAATATTGATAACCAAAGATTCTTTGTTGATTATAGGCTTCAATGGACAGCTAGCACATCTCCAAACTCGTATCAAGGCATAAGTGTGCAAGAAGATATGATTTGAATCAAATTTGGAAAGGTTTAATGGAAGAATCAAATCCAATTCATGGGCATTGATATGGAGAGATTTGAACCAAGTTTGTAGACCTAATGCAAAGCACAATACATAAGCAAGCTGAAGGACGCGAAAGAGGGGTTGGAAAGTGCAGAGAGAGACAAAACAAAAAGTGCAAAAATTCACAAAAAGTGGGAGATCAAAGTCCAAGCTAGAAGCTATTTCAGGACACGAGAGTGGTCTCAATCGCTTCCTGACCATTCATACAAGCTACCTGGATCCAGTAGAAGCATTTTTCAGACGTCCAAACGCACTGTAAGTCGCGCGATACCCCCCTCCCCCCCCTGTTCTTGATTTTGCAACTCTGAATTTAAGCATCTTTTTCATGAATCAATACCATATTTTGAATCTACCTAACATTTGCAAGCGATTGGTATTATTCAATTGCGTTTATCTGGCCTGAATGGAGAACCACCATAGCTAGGGTTCTTCGTTTGGTTTTTAGGGTTTTTTATTTCAGGTAAAATTGTGACTCAAGAAGAACATGGCTTTGATCAGGAGGTCATAACGAATCCAACCATGTTCTTGCAATGGATTTATATGGCCTGGAGAGAGTTTTAGCATAAGCCTGCATTTTTAGCTGCGGATTCAAATCTACAGGTATTTTTGTTACAGGTCTGAGGACATGGATGAGTTCGTGTCATCCTCCGGTTGGCCAATTCAAATGATTTTTGCGCGTTTTATTTTTGCTGGCATTTATTTTGTTTTAATATATTATGATCAATATGTATTATAACAACAAATGAAGCAGCGTGGTGTGTTGGCAAGGCAAGCGTTCATATCTCCTTCAGGACCTGGGTTCGAATCCCAGGTCCTCCACTTTCTCAATATTTTTTCCCTTCCGGTATTCCTATGTGCGCATGAGCCTGCAGTACACCATGATCCTCCATTCATCCAATTGCCATATGGCCAAAGGCCAAATCTGAGGGTCCATGATTGAAGGTCCACCATAGTCCAGGTCAATGCATGCATACTGGATTCCAAAAAGTCAAAAAGGCCAACACATATTGGGCCACGAAATTGCTACCAGCACCACAAATTCAGGCCCAATACCTCTCCCTTCTATTTATTTATTTTGTTTTATTATTTGTTTTATTATTTTTGTTTAATTACTAACCAATCAAAATTCTGTTTTATTAAAATAAAATCACAAAAAAATATTTTTTTTATTTTTATTATTTCAAATCAAATTTTAATCTTTTATTTTTCTTAATAAATTTATTAATTAATTAGGTTTTAATTAGAGAACTTTAATTCCTTTTGTAAAATAAATAAAATTAATTAGACTTAATTAGTTTTTTAACCATTAATTTAATTATTATTATTATTATTTCTTTCCTAAATAATCAAAAACTCCAAAAATAATTTATTTTTATTAATTTATTTATTTAATTTAATTTAGCAACTAATTTAGGATTTATTTCTTTTCCTTAAAATAAAAACAACAAAAAATTCTTCCTTAACCAAAAGGGTCAAAACCCTAATCATGCGCCCGATTTAGTTTTGCATCGCGATTTACTTTTCCTTATCCAATTATGTATCTGCTTCCGGATTGTAATAATTAAATAGGACTTTTAATTATTTTTATTGCTTTATTTTATTTTTTTCAAAGGGTTTGTCTTTGGCGATGTAAATACCCGACGCCTTGTAATTTAATTTCCGCATTTTATTTCCGCAAATTATAATTGTTAGATGTTTGATAATATGTTTGCATGACAAGACTGAATGTTAATCTTAAAATCAAATTAGATCACCCTTAACATGTACAAAGATAAAAAATAACTGAAAATGACACACTCGCACATGCACACTCTTAGGGTACACCCCATTCGGTTGCCTTCATAC